TAAGCCTCCTTTCCCCTTACTCCATTGATAACTACAGCCCTTTCTCCCTTATTGCTCTGTGCTGTAGCACATAGTCCTAGGGAGAAGGCGCCCGAGTTTGGTGACAGAGAAGCAGGTGACTGGAAGAAATGAAAGGGTGGATAAGAAAGTGTAGAAACACTCCCCTCCCACAGCACACCTTTACCTTGTTCTTCCAGCATCTTCAAAGAGCAGAAGCCAAAGCGTTTTGTGAACTGTGGACTGCGAGTCGATCCAGCGCAGACGGGTAGTGAACTGTGGGGTCCCACAATATACAGTAGCTGACTGTACAGAGCTGAATTTTACCCGGGAATGAAGTAGGTCTTAAAGCCATGACCAAGTGGAGAGAGTATCACCATTTCCATTTTACAGGGGAGAAAATTGAGGTGCCATCTATCACAACTGGACTCCTAAATCCTCCGGGAATGCATGGCTCATGGGATTAGTAATGGTTTTGAGTTAAGCTGTTAGTCACTACTAACAACTTCAAGTGCAGCACCGAGGGGGAGGAAGAATACCCTCTAAAACTTCTAAAAAGAAACACACTCCTTCATACAACAGGGGATTTATGAACTGAATTTGAACTGATAAGGGCATGACCTTTTCTAGGAAGGGACATACACTCCTAACCCAGAGCTGGAGTCTTTACAAGCACTACCAATAAAGACTATAGATGGAGAGTGATTTATTAGTTATTAAAACAACTTTCTCAGCATCTTTATAAGCTACAGGAGGTAGGTATCCACCACCATGAGGAACATCCAGCTCTAAATAGCTAGGAATGCTGTACAGCTAAGTGCTGACAGCCAGAAGTCACAAGAGAAACAGCGATCCACAGCTGAATTTCCATAAGCTATGTTCCCATTTAGTTTCAATCTCAGTTAAGCATTTCACTGTGGGTGGGCTATAGGCTGGACTCTCAGAGCAGTTAAGACACAGTACGCATTGCATACAGCTGCCTACTGGAGCTGAAAAGCCAAAATTTGCACCAGTCCCATTTACAAAGGCAGGGGTGGGGTGGGAGACGAGGAGAAAGTTTGTTTATTTCTTACTGCCGGGATGTGTGTGGTAGGGGGGAAAAGCAACAAAACGCAGCCAGCTCAGAGCAAAAGGAAGGGTCAGCAATGCCTCGCCGATTCAGAACACCGCTGAAAAAAGTGGTTTTCCTAGCAGGTCACTGATCACGCGTTCCCCAGCTCTAGCCTCTCCCTTCTAGCTAAAGTCTAAGAGCTATACCTCGTGGTAGATCACTACCACAACAACCACGGTCTCCTTTAGTCCACTCATGCACCCACTGCTTGCATTTGCAAACAAGCACCTTTGTGATTTCTTTTGCATTGCTCCAAAAACTCGGAGAGAACCCAATAAAAATATCTGGAAAACCAATTCCTTCTCCTTTGGAGAATCATCCATGTGAACCCTCTGGAAGAGTTGAGTTACGCCATCACTGCTGTGTTTCCACTACTGGAATGATATTGTCTCCTTGATATCCTCCCTCTATCTCGGTCTGTTACCTAAGTTCACGTTTAAGGTAGATCTACTAAGGCAGTGACTATCTTCTGGTATTACACTTTTGTTATACCTATCACAGCGGTGTCCTATTCCATGAGAAGAGCTCCTAAATGTGGCTGTGCTGCAAAGAACTGGTTTCAAACATTTCAATATTTTCTCTCCTTATCAGATTCAGATTTACACCAAAGTCAGTACTGAGGATCCCAGCGTTCTACACCTATTAGTGACTCTATAAGCAATCACCTCCTGGACAATAAAACAGAATTCCTAACGTATCAGAGATTTGCCATTAAGAATTTGGGGCAATTTGAGGATAGCACATGGTTGCAGAACATACCCTCCTGGAGTCTCCCAGACTATGAAGCAGGCAGCCTTCCCCTGAGACTCCATGACCTGCCAAGTTAAAAAACAGTCAGAAAGGACGGCTGATTGAGTCAGTGGCTCAAGACTCAAATTAGAGTCCCAGCTGCATGCCACATTCCCTCCAAGACTTATCGCTGACCTTGGCTACAGCTTCTCCCATCTTTAAAATGGGAATTATAAACCTCTCTACCTCCCTTAATCCCATCTGTTTAGTTTGTAAATTCTCCAGGGCAGAGACTGGTTTTTATTTGTGTGTACAGCACCACATACAGCAAGGTCCTGATCTTGGCTAAGGCTCCTAGGCATGATTGAAATACAAAGAAATGACGGTATCTTGATCAAACATGAAGAACTCGGATAAACAATAGAAAAGCAGCTTGATATTTTTTTTTCCTGCAGTCTCTGCTTTTCCGTGACTTGTTTATTCATCTCAAAGCCTCAGCAGACATCTAATCAAGCTGTTAAGAGTCAGATTTGTGGCCAGTCAAGCACTTAGGGAGCTGTTAAACGTTCAAAACCAGTTCTATTCAGCAAACAGCTGCTGCTTTTTTTTTTTTTTCTATTCTCCTAGATAGCGGTATGGTTTCTTTACTCACTGTATACTCACCATTTTCCTATTAAAATTGCATCGGGGTGATACAGTGACTTCTCCACTAAAAGGTCTCATTAAGTTTTGGGTAGGGACACCTGACTTTTTCAGGCCTATCTTGTTTGCAGTTTTTGGTACTGATTCAAATCACGCTACAGTTAGACGAAGCAATGATTTCAGCAGGCTTAAGAAAGAAGGAAAAACGTGATAGTTTCCAGATGAGTGTATTATACTAAATTTAACATGCCTTTTGGTACTTAGAATTTCCACTTTTCCCCCTTCCATTTATGTAATTAGAAATCAAGCAGCAGGAAACCGTTCCTATTCCAACCTCAGTTGGGAACAGTATGGTCTCATTCCCATAGAGGGAAACAGGAGACTTGTCCTCACAAGGAGGTATTTTGCACAGCTTACATGGACAGGTTCAAAAATAGGTTTTGAATAATACAATTTTAATTAAACCACAACAAATACAGGCCCATGATGTGCTAGTTATATATGCATATATCTCTCTCTCAACACAACAAGAAGCAAGACAGCTGTGAAAAACAAAAACGTTCAATTCTTACCCTACTTAAAGAACAGTCACAAAATTTAAATTCCACTTTTTAGAGTAAAATCGTGCCATTTTTCCACACTCACCCTAGGGAATTTCATATTAATGAGCAAGAACATTTGTTCTTATTATTCTCACTCTAGCAATAAACGACACAGTGTGAATGGGTATCTACAAGGGTACCCTCTGAGTTCCAGGGCCAGAAGAACCACTTGATCACGGATCACAGTAGATCATATTAACTCTAGGAAGTCATATTTGAACTAAAGCAGAGCATACCAGGGCAGGACAACTCATCACCAGGGACACTAAATAAACATGGAACCCCTCATCACGGCCCAAATGACACAGTGCTAGCTAAAGCTTTTTCTGCATGTTGGGAGTCATTATATTCAGAGCGTTGCTACTGCTTTTGGTTCTCCTGTTTCTTACCCAGGTTGATGCTCTTCTCTCCAGCTGAACCCACTGGCTTACCAGACTGCTAGCATCGCAGCACACACACAGAGAACTCAATAAAAACACTTTCCAAACCACAGAGGAGCTACGGCTCCAAAGTACATAGTTCAAATTAAAAATTGGGGCCAGATAAAATGATTCAAAATTGGGAAGAAAGAAAGCGATCCTGTTTCCAATAAGCTGTTTTGACCTGACTGATGAATGCAGTCCGGCAAGGCAGGAGGTGGAAAAACAAGGACATGCTCAAGCAACGGTCCTGGATGGTATCATGCTTTGACAGTCTTTAATGCTGCTCTGGCATTAAAGCTATTTTATTTCACAAGTCCATTGCTCTAGGCGAGCTCTTCAGCTTCTGTTGACTCTGGGCACAGCTCAACATGCTTCTTCAGTGTGCAAGATCCACACACAAGTGCCCAGGGGGATGTGGGGGTGCAGGACTGCTGTAGCACCCAGACCAAATGTCAGTCCCATTGCTCAGTAAGATAAGGAGTTTCTCAAGCTCTCTGAACTCTGAAGACTGCCCCTCAGTCCACCCCCTTCCTTTTTTGGCACGGTTTAAAAACCAAATATTGCGCAACTTGTTTTTCATTGTGTTTTCCTTTCTGGAGAGGAATTTTTTTGTCACCAGGGCTCACCATGCAGCAGAACAGGCTTTCAATAAAGGAAAGCTCCGTATCAATCTGTACCATTCCCTTTCTGTCTCGGGAGACATGCATTTACATCTTGTGCTACATAGACAATATGCAGCAAGCATGGGAGAAAGAAAAGAGGTCCTTGAGAGCCATCTCAATAGCTAGAAAATTGTGCTGAGTAAATAAGCGATGAAGACAACCTCTCAAGTTGGGAGAAGAGCAGTAGACAACATGCCAACAGGTAATTACACGGACTGGGGTAAACGTTAAGTAGAAGGGAGTACTTGGACCAGTGACTTGCCAAGGTAATAAAGAGCTTTAAATATTTGTGACCCATTCCCAGACACTGAAACCTGTATGTTCTCCCACAGAAGAAGGGTGAAAAAACAATCAGCCTAAAAGGTAAGCTCAGAGCCAGATGGCATGTGCATCTGTTTAATTCGCCCACTATCCCGGGAAGTTTCAAACTTGGGTCATTCCATGACTCAAAGCTACAAGAGACAGCACTGGCTAGCTGCATCAGTCACACAGTTAGGATTTGCCTTTTTGGATTCTGCCTCTTTGGAGAGGACAAAACTCCAATTTTAAAGGGCAACTGTACAAACAGGACATAGGAGTATTTATATTCCTCTCCAAACACCGGCACAAGCAGCAGGGGTCTAGTGTGTGATTTATGAGGTGGGAATGCTTCTTTGAACTGTATGTTAGATGGGGGTTGCCTTTCCAGAGTGGAGAGGAACATACGACGCCTGTCTTTTCTGAAGAGCTCTCACAGTGGCTTTTACCCAGGTGGTCACAGCTGCTAGGTACTCAAAATGAAGTCCTCTCCTTCCATTCTCTCTCTCTCTCTCTCACAAAGTCAACACACCAGAGAAGGCCATTTTTCTTTTTTTTATTTCCCAGAAGAGCTCTTCCTTGCACTTTCCAGACACGATACAAAACAAGCAACAGAACTTTGTTTCACGTACAGAAACAGTTTGTTGGAGTATAAAGAGTTACTGGTGATCGTCACTGAAGAATGTTGGCTTATTCCAGGGGCACTTCAGTATTCCTGAGGAATAATCATTGATTTCTCCTTCCTTCCCACTGGGATAGTCTTAGTCATTAGTCACTGTTCCTGTAAAGCAAGAAGGCTTATATTATTAAAAAGCCATTCGGGTTCCTTACATGGAAGGTGCTGCACGATGTAAAGCAAGCCACTTAGCTTTGTAACATTTCCAGAAGGTAGGCTAACATTTCCATCCTTTGCTAGACTGAGAAGTTGAGTATGGAGAAGTTAAGCAGCTATTTTCATACCAGAAGCATGCCATGTTTTCATGCATGTAAGCCTCCATTCTGATAAAATGGGTACTTAAAAAAAAAACCCAGCATTATTGATTATTGTTCAAGTTAACTATTCGGAGATTGGATAGAAATCAGATAGAAATCAAAGCCACAAAGGGCAGGAGGAAAGGCTCCAGTTGCCAAACTTCTTGTATTGTTGCACATCTATATAGGTCACATTGCAGTCAAAGTACACGGCTGTGGTTTTTTGGGTGATAAATAATACAGGCTAAATAACCTGAAAAATATGATACTTTCCACTTTGCAAGGAAACCTTAGGCCATGCAATTCTCAGCCATACTGTTTTAAGCCTTGAAATAATTGCTAGATGTCGATTTTAAATTCAGCTGAAGTCACAGTGACATCCACTTCATCAAATTACTTCAAAAGCCCTCAGAATCTTATGACCACAGATTAGAACTTTCCTGCGTTTTAAGTGGTCTCTTGGCCGAAATGAACGACTCTTGCATTGGTGTTAGTGTTTCATGATCAACTTACTAACCCAAAGGATGGGCAGTGTGATGATCCAAGTTACAGCTACAACAGCTGCAAAGTTGCTTTATAATCTCCTGATTATTTGGTATCATGAAGATCCTCTGTCCCCTCTCATTCTCACTTAGGATTCAGAATTAAGAACTTCATCCTGAAGAATCAAGAATCCAGACTGGATAAAACCCCGAGTAACCTGGTCTGACCTCATAGCTGACCCTGGTTTGAGGTCAAACTAGATGACCTCCTTGAAGTCCTTTCCAGCTTGAGTTATCCTGTGATCCTATGAACTTGACAGGTTCGGAAAACTAGAAATAATTTTGCTCAAGCTAATCCGTGTTACATTTCTCTCTCTCTTAATAAAGCTGACTTTCTTGCAGAATCTCACATTTTGACAAGTTAGCATTTGAACAGAAACTCAGTTTTGTAAAGGAAGTCCTATAGAGTTTAGTTACAACAGTATTTTCTAGGAAAAAAACAGATGAGTGATAATGCAACAATATTTTCCATGCTCCTAACCAACAGAAATGAAATTATTTTGTTGTAGTAACCTTGGAGCCATTATCCATGACACGACATTTTGGAGAGAATTAATGACATTAACTATTAGATGGCTTCGTCCGCGTCTTCCCTCTCTCAGCATGTTCAGCCTCTTTGTGCCAGAGAAAGCTAGCGGAGACAGTGCACTGGAAACTATTCGTCTAGTCTTGTGCCATGCAGGCAGCTGCGCTTCTTCTGTGAAGTGTCCTTTCAATTACCTCATGCTTCAGAGGACCACCCTTGCTCCAGAGCACAGATTAGTCCTTAATCCAAACAAAATCCTTTCCTAGGCTGACCTGAAAGTCAGTTTTCTATTGCCCAACATCCCTAGTAACAAGCACCCTTGAATGAATAACGCTTTCTCAAGAACATGTGAACAGGGCATTTACCATTCACACGAAGCCACAGACGTGTCATTCCAGTTTCTTTTTGGAGACATAAATTGGAGGAATACCCTCAGGATGGTGTGGAAAGCTAACACGTTTTGATGTTAACAAATCTGGTCAGAAGAGTCATGCACAGACTTTTCATTCTGGGCTGTAGCTGGCAATGTTGCAGCTGATACAGCTGCATCTAAGTCACAGTGTCTCTATATTGCTATCCAAAATATTTTATTCCGAAGAAGTTGTTCAAGAATCTTGTTACTGTTTCCCTTTCTTTACAGGCAGCTGAAGATAGTATTTGTAAACAGCTACGTCTGGTACGGCTGCAGAAGGCAGGCAAAAGCTCATCGGCCAGTAAATCTAAGGAGGACCGGGCTCAACTTACAGCTCTAGATGCATCAGGAAAAAGCCTAAAAACACCTTCAGGCCTCCTTCATTAGGCAGACGAGTGACACAGGAGCAATTTTTGCATTCTGTGTGCTTGCCATGAAAAGCTCCTGGCAGAACATTTCACCTCAGTACTTTCTGAAGTGCTAAAATAACTATAAGTAGGTCCTGGTGGACGCCTCTCCACCGGTATCAGTGAAATGCTTTTAGCAGTATATGGCTTTGTGGATCCAAAATATGCACGCACACCCCTTTTTTTTCCAGATGCCACAATGATAAATTACCGTAAGAACAGCCCCAACTTTTACATGTGAAGAAATAAAGAAAACATTAATGGAGTCAGTTTGTGGACTTAGTGCACTGTAGGCAGTTTGCGAGCGCACAAATGGTTCCTGCTAATTAATCTATTTTTAAATATTTTATTTCAGCATGGTCAGTGATAATACTGAACTCATTTAAATTATCCTCTTCAAAACTAAAGTGTACAATTTCTTCAGACTAATTATTACATTACTATCCAGCCAAACAAGCCACAAAACTTACAAGTGATTAGTGTTTTCATGTTGAAAAAAAAAAAAAAAACAACAAAAAAACCCCCACAGAAGATCAAAGACCTGCTTCCACAGGCAGATCTACCTGACATGCCTGACACGACTTTCAGTTTCTTCCTAGTTCATCTCTTTCAAAGTCTGAAGGCAGAATCTTACCGTTAGTTTAGTTCTTCAGCTTTTCTAACATGTATTTTTATTATATGTGTTTTCAGGTTGTGGGAAAACCTACCTGCAGGACCTGTTGAATTAATTCTACGTATTCAGTCTAGTAAGTTTACTGCTGAACACACCAGACGTTAAAAATTTCTAAAGAGCAGGGGAACCACCCCGCTTCGGCAACACAAGTTTCTTCTTACCGGTGCTCTTTTGGGAAAGGCAGAGGAATATCCATTTAAATGGTGCCTACATGTACCGTTTAATGCTGACTTACAAACAGTTACCAATTAATAGTAACTAGTACTGATACTTACCTTTACAAATTTACCATGGAGAAGATATGGAGACTGGAAGTCATGTTGACAATTGGAATAAGCCATTCCTAACCCCATCCCTGAGCCAAAAGCGATAGGCCATGTCTTTCCTAGGGGGGGAAGGCAAACAGAGAGGAAAAGTTAATGTCAAGAAAAGCTGTTCATTTCACATGGCAGTGATAGCATTGTTAAATAAGCACCAAGAAAGAATAAATTACTGGAAGATGCACATTAAGCATTTTCAAGTTCTACAAGTCCTAAAATGGGCTAAAAACCAGACCACTTCAGAAGAACAACAAGAGTAACAGTGAGTAAGACATTGTATTTAGAATTCAATGGAGAGCAATCTCTGAATTCAAGATATTACGGAAAATTATTCTGTTACCAAAGCATAACTAAAAAAGAATTTAGATCAGTTTTAAAAGCCTGGCAAGACTGGCATAAACTGATGTCTAGACACATGGCTCCAGTAATTTGGCTCAGGGTTTCCTGCAATTCCAGAATTTGAGCTGAGCACAGTAGGAGCTTAGAGAGATGCCGCGCGTAACAACCTTGTTACACAACAGTTAGAAGTTTAGGTAACTCCGTTTCAACTGAAGAGACGTGGGCAATAATGGAAGAATTGGTCTAACATGCTGATTTTACATGCCTCAAAGATTTCTTGGTTTTAAACTGCACCTACAATAGACAGAAATTAGGAAACCAGGCAGTCAAGAGTACTGTAGTATACTTACTTTTGAAGAATATGACTGAGAAAACAATTCCTAATCCGAATCCAGCACCTGTAAGAAGAAATGCAGTGAGTGAGGACTAAGATAATGCAAAGTTACAGAAAATGATTTAGTTCTTCACAGTAATTCTTTGTTCCAACTCAGGAACATCAGACTAGATGTTATTTCAGCACACCAAACAAAAACGTTCTTAAATAGCAATTCTGAAAAAAATAATTCTTGTTTTCTTAAGTAACTGGAAGCAGCTAATTCAGATTAGAATCCCAGCATATACAAGTACATTATCAGAAAGATTTGGGAAACAAATCAGACTCTTATCCCAGGAAAAGTTACTGAATTTCTGTCACCATCTACAATGTGGAATTAAGATTTATTTGGCTCATTGTCAGCAAATGAGAAACGCTTAAATGAAAACTTATTGTGTCCTTGAGCTTTAGATTTTGCAGATGAATATCTTACTGTATTTCGTTTATCTCACTACTTTAACTACTTCAATGTGTGTCCTGAGGGCAGCAAAACTTTGATGCTTTGTGTTACCCTATACCTTGCAAAAGAAAGCTCCAGGCTGCTTATCTTTCACATCCACAACATTCATTATGGAGCATATTTAAACACATTAGGAACGAATGACTTTTCACATCCTTATACTATATATAGAAATAACTACAGCAGTTGAAAAAAATTTATCCAAGCACCATTAAAGAACTCGGCTGGCATATTTAAAAATAATTTTTGCTTTCCTTGGAAGGTGTACTTATGATTTTTTGCAAGAAGTCAGGCAAGTCTGCAAAACTCCTCTCACAACCCAATAAATATAACAGTGAAAACTTTGAGCTCAGTGGGTAAATTCTACCTTTAATTATATCCACTAAAGACAAGAATTTTAGATAAGGCGCAGAAGTACAAAAGTTTAAAAAAGGAAAAAAAAAAAACTATGCATATGCTCATTAAAAAAATACCTAACAGTTTCAGGTTTATTTTGCAGCAAACACATCCTGTTCTGGGTTTCAATTCTCTCCTTTCAATACAAGAAACCTAACTTAAGTATAATGAGTTTTATTAATTAGAAGACATACTTTTTTTTTTTTAAATATTCCTAAAAGCATGCGATCCTTATTTAAGCTCCTGTTGAACGCATTACTAAGTGGGTTGAATCCAGAACAATGTCAAAGAATCCTATACCCTCTTGGCGTATAGCAGTACATTTCTTTTTTTTTTTTTTTTTAAGTTTCCTTCTGCTCTTCAAACCTTTTTCCCTGCAAAAAGTATACTAATGGTAGCTCCTGTTGAGGCACAGACTATTGAAACAACACTCACTGCACTACCTAGTAAATTAATTAAGCACCCCACGCTTTTCATTGGTTAAAAACCCTCAAATATTAGACTAGAGATGACCAAACAGATGATCTGAGCAAACCCCTTTACATTTACTCTCCCGTTAAGACTTCACCATCCATATTTCCTGAGAGCTGGAAATCAGAGTTGCTTTCGAAAACCCTTTTCATTTTACTACACGTTTTCATTAGCTCCGATTGTGACAGAGGTAACTACTTTACCAGGTCATTACAACTTTGGAGTAGGCTTGCAAAACATGCAACTGCAGGGAAGAACTTTGACTGCCTGCCAAGTGGTCCTGACATAACTCCCCCAGACATTTTAGAAACCGAGCATTCTGCAGAAGGTCAGGTTTTCACTCTAATCATTTGCACAGCTAAGGGAAAGTCTCAGTTCCTCAGATGTCTGGTCAGAGCTTCAGGCTTTTTCTGCATTTCAGACAGTAAGAGATACACTACTTGGAGCATCTCGTATAAACAGCTAACTACTCATGCCGTGTCACTGACCAGCATTTATATGCAGGCTGGAAGAGACATCATGCATTACTAAGAGCAGCAGTTCATCCGTGCTAATTCCTCCGCTCCCCCTCCCCAAGTAGAGCCTTCCTTCTGTACCTTTGCTATAATACAGCTGGTGTTGGCTCTCGCAGAATGTTTATGCTATTAAGGATAATTACTATCTTCGAGAATTCATCCAACGGACAACTGTTTGGCCCTCTGACCTGACTCCCTCTGCCAGTCTTTTCCTACAATACGTAGTTATGCTGCCTTTTTGTTTGGGGCTGTTGTACTGTAGGTCTGAAAAGGACTTTCTGGAGGTAATTACTTTCCGTTCAGACAGCGCTAGGCGTTGTTTGAACTGTCCGGTTCAGAAGGCCTGTCACGCAGTGAGTGATACTGGTCCTACGCTTCCTGTCCAAGACAAGATCCCCTCTGCCAATCCAAACAGTTTAGCTAATCAATGAGAAATGATTTACAGGATGACAAATTCTGCATCATCTCGATGCGGAGCCCAGGCAGTTTCTAATGTCACCACATTTTCCACGTTACCAGTCAAACCCACATTCTTCTTACCAGAGTGGTGGTAAGCTGTTTACCTTCTTGTCTTAAGAAAAGTCTGCGCTAAGGAAGCAGCTATAGTTAATACAGTTTCTTTCCATCTACGTCCAGAAATCTTCGTTATCTTTGTATTCTCTTCACCTCCTTCAGATGCTTTCTCACATTACACCCCCGTTTGCAAGGGCTCCACACAGAAGCCATCAATGCTGCTTCCTGTTGGCCGTGGGGGAAGCTACAGGATACACTTAAAGGTGAAAAATGTATTATTTCTGCCAACTGCAATTCAGCCTAAGCCTAAAACAAAACCTAGGTCTCCCCCCACACTAATACCCAACACCACTGTTAAGCAGATGTGGTCCAGCATGACTGACTTGTTAAGACAGAATGGTCTTTCCTAAGAAAGCTTTTTTTTGGAAGTAGCGATAAGCCTGGGTGCAGGGAAGGGATTCTTCTTTTTCATGAAAATGCACAGTGTCAATTTTA